TACTACTACTACTACTACTACTACTACTACTACTACTACTACTACTACTACTACTACTACTACTACACAGGACATGAATTCACACTCTTTGTGTCTGAAGAAGTGGATTTAGCTGCAAAGAAGCTCACACTGAAATAAATCTACTACTGTAGCCTTTAAAATGCAATGTTATTTTTTCCTCTCTCTCTCTCTCTGTCTCTGTCTCTGTCTCTCTCTAAGTTTTAATTTTCTTTCTCCTCTTTAATTTTGCCAGACAGACACAGTGACACCTTTGGAAGTTCTTGCCTCTAGAACAGCTTCCACCTCCCCTGGATACCATTGGGGCTGCTCCCTTAGACAACATATTTTTAATAAGTCATTGTTTTTATTAAATTAAATCTTAGCATCATCAAAAGATCATACTAATTCTTCATGCGTCCTTAAAACATCGCGTTTCCTAAGCTTAGAGGAAACTATTATTTCAAACACAGCCTGCTTAACTGAACTACCTATTGTTTTAATTCCAACACGTTTTCTCTCACTTGAAAAAATTCCAATCACCGAAGAGGATTGCTGTATAGCAGCTGTTTCAGCTCTTGAAAAGGCCAGACATGTTCAAAAAAATTTAAACAAAACCTTGTAGGAATAGAAGGCCGCCTTTCCCAAGCACAGAAAAGCTACTGCTGAGAGTTAAAAGTCTGCATCAATGACTACAGACACAAAAGGAGATTGACTTGTCCTAATTCCTTTTTTATACTTCCTCCAGATTATTCTTAAGAAAGAATGTATCCGGTTTCTGCTTTTATAATTTTGTTTTCTGACTTTTTGGCTTTAACCAAGGGAGACCACATTTTATGGACCTAAATTCTACTTGAATTTCTTTAAAAAACAAAAACAAAAAAACATAACTTCTGCTCTGTCCTGTATAAAATTCTACTTACATTTCACCTACCCCCCCTTTTTAGTTACTCCCCAACCCATTCCAAGAAAAACTGGAAGACCTAATTAATGCATGTGAGAGAAATTCTGAGGATAGGAAAACAGGTTTCTCCTCTTTTTAATCCTGCAATAAACAGTTTTTGAAAATCTCAGTGGCCTCCCTCTCTCTCTCTCTCCCCCTTACAGCAGTTGATTATAAAAGAAAAAGGAACGTGGGATGTGTGAAAGGAGACAAATCATTCTCTCTCTTTTGGCTTTCTCTCCCAAAGTCATCCCCCAAAAGTGTTTCTTCTCCCTTTCATCCGGAGTTCATAAGTATATTAGATACCCAGCTAAAAGGGAAATGGGGCTAGTAATGGTAACTTAAGCTGGCTGGATAGTTTAGTAGTTTAGATCTCTGGCTATGGTGCCAGAGGTTGGGAGCTTAATTCTTCAATGTCCATCTCCAGGGAGAAAAGCCAGCCTGGGTGGCCTTGGGCAAGCTACACAGTCCTAGGGCACCCCCCCCCCCAGAAGAAGGCAATGATAAACCACTTCTGTGTATTCTCTACAGAGAAAACCTTGGAAATGGTCCCCATAAGTCAGAATTGACTTGATGGGACATGATTATTATTATAACAGCAGGGTTTTTTTGGGGGGGGGGGTTTATAGGAGGTTGATAAGGCACTTTTCCAGAGCATAATGCTTTCACATGCCACATTTCAAGGTAACTGGTGTTAAATTTTCCTTACAGTAGCCATTCAGCTTCCTCATATAATGGCATCAATGTAAACTCAAGAATGAAAAAGAAAATCAAAGCCACCTACCCTTGGGAGACCAGAAGACCTTCCCGTGTCATTTATGTGAAGTTCTGTATTCTTTAGATTCTACAAAAGAAGCCACTCACCATTATCTGGCTGTAAATGTTGGCTTTTGCAACTGTTAACACCGTTTTTTCATCCAAGCAAACAATTTTGGGTTTGGGCTTAACGACGGGCTCCATGCTTAAAGCGTCTTCGTCACGCTGGAGATCCCGAGAACACACAAAACCTGGCGAACACCTCCTTCCTTCCTCCACAATCACATTGCTGAGTGAGGAGAACAGAGGCTCTGTTTTGACCTGTGCAAAAGACCCAGCAGGTTTTTATTTTTCTTAATTTCTTCCCCAAATAGTTAGTTTCATCAAAGCAACAACAGTTGAGAAACAAAAACAATCAACCCATCCACTCCCCAGCATGTAATTGCAACACACAGTGGAATCAAATATCATGGATTTACTCTTGATCAGACAGCCTTTTGCAAATTGTCTTTGAGCCCATTCAGACTGGACATTTTGGATGAAAGCTGGATCAGGCTACAAAGGGTCTGTTGAAGACGGTAGAAGGAGCAACGTGCCACTTGGCCTGCTCCTCAACAGCAAACAACTTTATGTAGCCCGATCAGCTATCAATTAAGCGCTTCCCCTGATCATTTGGGATGGGTCAGGGGAAGTGAAATTATTTTTTTGAATGTTGCTCCTCTCTCCTTCTCTTGGTGCCATTCTTCCCCATGCTCCGCGTCCCTGCTCTTGTTCTCCCTACACTTTCTCTCTCACTCTTCCTCAGAATGTGGAGCTATAATGGCAATTGGAAGACTGGCTAAACAACGAGCATGCCAAAGAGAATGCATGCCCTACTGCTGGGCCAGAAAACTGTGTAACAGTTCTTAAAAGGGAAGGAGGGCTCAATCTAAGTAGAAATACATACAGATGAGGTGGTTTTTCAATCCAAACCATGCCATCAGTGATCCATATATTACATCTATATGCTAGTGTGGACAGCCTCTTAGTTAAGATGGCAGTTCTTAAACCGTTGGGCTCACATGCAGTTTGATTCCAACTGCCTAAATCCATTGCCAATTGGGCATATTGGCTGGTGCTTTGGGGAATGGACCTTGAAAACATCTGTGGACCCAACAATGGAAAACAGTCGCTTAGAGTGAAGAAGTGCAAATCCCCTCGCATTCATTCATTATGAAGTTGCACCTAGGAATTCAGGTTTGCTTGGGTCTCTTGCCCATGAACCGGCCACACAGGGATTGATTGATTGAGAGGGGGGGGGGCTTTGTTCAACATCTTGCTTGCAAAAGCCCAGCAGGTGGCACTGTTAAAAGGGAACTGCTAACGAGCTGTTATCAAGGCTGTCTAATCTTGTTAGATTTACCATAAGCTGGTAAAAAAACAAGAGGCTTTGCCCATCCTAGTTTGAAAAAAGGAGAGAGGAGGAGCTGTAAAAAAATCAATGGGGAAAGAGTTTGTTTGTTTGTTTGTTTGTTTGTTTGTTTGTGTGTGTGTGTGTGCGTACACAGCTCATCTCACCCCTCACAAGGCAAGCGGTGAGGGAAAAGACATGCATAACAGATCTAATCGGATGTACAGAGGTTCAAACACAGGCTTTTGTGGGGAGCCAGAGTAGGGTCATAAATAGATTATTGCACTGGGAGTTGCAGAGTTGGGTCCAAATCTCTGCTCAACTATGGAAACCTGGGGGTGTTGGTGTTTGCAATGGCAACCCACGTAACTTGAAGACCCTACCAAGGCCCCCATATATTGGAAGTGGGCTTGATTTACATCAGCCTATGTAAATCAAATTCTCAGCTGTCCAGCCTTGGAAGATCTTACAGGATGGGCAGATCTGGTCAGAAGGAGGCATTCTGCTAGATAACAAGGTCCCAAACTATTTAGGACTTTGTATGTTAACCTTGGAAACGAACAGGTAACCAGGGCGGCCAGGGTAGGGGAGATAGTTGATGTCTTCCCACTTAGTAGTTTGATGGCCAAGTTCTGGACCTGCTGATGTCTCTGTGATGGCACCAAGGGATCTGCAAAAGACCATAGCAGTGAACCCACTACAAGCAACCAGGAAGTCCTTACCAATGTGATGTATTCAAACTCAATGACGTACTCCGGCAAAACCAGCTCGGGATCAAAGAGAAACCACTCACACTGGCGGAGGCTACAGTCACAGTTCTTGTAGTCAGCAGGAGAACAAGCCTCTGAAGTGCAAGAAAAGGAGGAAGATGTTGATCAGTCTGGTGCTGATTTTTATGCAGATAACACGACGTGCAGATTGCACTTCAGGATCGGAAGACCCACTTGGTTTTGTGGCTAACCCACTCTGAAGCTTATTATTAACATTGGTGGTTTGGGAGGTGGGGGAAAGATAATAAAAGCAATGAAACAGCTCCTCTGAGGACATGCTCATCACCAATTATTTATTTTCACAAAAGAATAGAGTTTATAGTCCTTTACTCCTTGTCTAGCTAAATGGGACATTTTAGTACCCAAGAGTCAATGTTGCACTGCAGAATTCATATGGAACTAGACCTACGTTGACGATATTTGTCATTTGAAGAATTGTTCGCCATGTTCCCAACTTTCACCCACTTTCGGTGTAAGAATTTAATATTTTTTAGAGACAAAAGGATAATGTGGGTCATATCTTTTGTCCCAACCAACAAGAACCACCACCCCCAATAACAAAACTAAAAACCCTCACCGTATTACGTTTTTTGGTGAATCATCATGCTGTGAACGGCATATTCTTGTGGACAGAAAGCTGGCCACATTCAGAGGGACACTGAGTCACGCATCTCAGCATGCAATAAATAAAATATATGGAGATTTCTTAACTTATGTAATTTGCATCCAAAAAGTTACACCTTTTGTGTAACTACATGCAGGATTTTAGCCAGTGAGGCAGCCTGTTCAATATTCTCACTTCCCACCCAATCCAGTGAGAAGGTTTTTTTAAAAAATGAGGCCAAGAAAACAGCTTGCTTTTTCAATATATAGTGGCTTGCATAATTTGCATTAAAAACCACTTTTTGCTTTTGTGGAGCTAAGGATGCACATCCAGCCAACACAGAAGGACAGGATGATTCCTCTGGAAATCAGCAGCCCGATCAGGATTTTTAATAGTCTGCCCAATAAG